CAGAAAAAGTTGGCATCATTTTGGGCTTGACTTCTGAAGTAAGCATATCATAAATGGAGAAAGATCATAAAATTGTGGCTCTAAAACTACCTGTGTTCTTTTTCTCATTTTCTCAGGACCAATCATCCATTCCCTCATGATACCAACTCATTTCTAAACTGATATGCAATGCAGGCCCTGGAATTCCATGGCAGCCCTTGTTTATAGTGATCTTCCAGGTGACCTGGTATGTGCTTTTATATATACATATATATATATATAAAACATTAGAGTATTATATACCTGAATTATTAGAATACTCTTAAAATGAAGAGGAAAATTAAACTGTTCTCAGTGAGAACGTATAGATTATTAGAATACATTTGTACACCTTTATTCTGTTTAAGAAACACTAAGCCACCGAAGAGATGAAAACATTTTAGAAGAAAAGAAGTGCAGGTTATGGGTCACTTCGTTCATTCAGTAAGGCAAGGATTTAAGATGCTGTAATATTACTTAGTGCTGGAGCAGTTTTTATTGTAGACTTCTAGAACTTGAGCACAGTCAAAAGCAAGTCCCTCTATTTCAACAGAATTCTTCCTCCTGCAAGCAACCTAACAAATTTAATAAAATAAACACATTAATAGTCAATTTTGCATTATGAACTATGAATGAATTGAACAGAATATGGATGATATGTTGTTTGTACTGTTAATACTTACAGCCAACCTGAAAAAACCAAAAGTTTCTGCATCAAATAGTTATGTAGTTAGGATTTCAAGTCTGGAGTGGGAATAATTACCAAAACAAGTGGTAAGAATAATAAGTAGTCCTAAATTCTAAAGGAATTTGATTATTGGAAATGATACAAGGTACAGGAATTTGCTGTAGTGAAGATTCCTATAATGTGAGATCCATATGTATAAAAAAAAAACTTGCCAAATCATTTTATTTCAAAAATAGGTTCTCAAATTTTAACATAAACTTAGACATATTTTGGCCCTTGCTTAATATCTTTAGAGAGGATTAATTTAGATAATTATATTGTTAAAATTACAGAATTGCTAAAATAATTAGGAAATTATGATTATTCTGGTAATGCAGCTCTTTTGAACAAGTTCCAGGTACCCACAGTCTCTACTGTTTAACCAACTGTTCTAGAACAGATTATGGGATTTGCCTGGGGTGAGGATGACTGAGAATGATGACTTGGACTCAATTCTAGGTTACTTTACTTTGATTTTCTTCCAAAGCAGCAGCTAAACAGAGTGGATGCTGTAAATGAGGTAAGAAAGTAGATGGGTGGATGTGACGAAACACTTGGCCTCTTACACCTCACTCAGGTGCTTCTGTGTTAGGTTCTCTCAGCAAACCACTGGGAACAAGACATACCTGAGTCAGAGTGTGGATCTGTGTGCTCACTGCCTTTTGTGTCCCCAGTAGTCATGTCAGCACCCAGAAGCAACTTACACTATCTTAACAGGCAATAATGCCATTGTTCAGGAACCTGCATCCCCATGCCATGCCTGTGGGACGTAGGAGGTTCTCTCGCATGCGCACTTGGGCACAACTGGGCCTACCAGCCAATAATATTCTGCTTTGCTGAGTACCAGTACAAGGAAAAAGTTCTTATCGAAACAAAGGGAAAATACAGGTGCAAGGAATAAGGACAATGAGAAAGAAAAACAGTGATACTTTTAAAATAAAAAGACTCCTAATTATTTAGATTAAAAATTATATTTTGGACTATTGTGCCATCATAGAATACTCTGCAAATTCTTATGATTTTGAAATTTTATTAATAGTCTCCACAATATGCTCAAGAAATTTAGTATACAAATACATTTTGTTATCACAAATGCAGTAGTGGCCACATTCATATCAAGAAATGATAAATGAACTGCATCTGATATGGTAGCATCTTTTATATTCTCCTTTCCTCTCTGAATAGATTGTGGCACATTATAAAATAGAATCCCTTTAGTTCATGACTTGTTCAGTTGCAAATTCATGTAAACTACAGGACCAGTTTGGCACCTGCTGTGATCATGAGTCTACTGCTGTTTCTCTAATCAGAAAACATTCCTATTAGATAAACCATCTGGCTTGAAAAGCATCCCTTTTGCATTCAAAATGGTTTGGTTAGAATTCAGCCAAAGTATATTTTAAAAGGAAAGATGTGTCAGCAAGACCAGTCTGTTTACTAATGGAATAGTCCTCTATTAAAATATCATTTGCAGAATTAAAGCTATAAAATGAAAATATTACACAACATGAATGTGTTCTAGTTACAAGTGAAAATGCGGGTGGTGGCAACCTTTGTCTAAGGCCATCCACTGAAATCTGTTGAAACTTAGCTAGTCATAGTCATCATCTGATCAGAGCCAACTAAACTGCGTGGTATTCTGATTGCAATCATGTTCGGTGATGTGTGACATATCACGAATGCTGTTTCGTGACCATCAGTATTATTTGTAGGGTCTAGGGTACTACTTGGATATTGACTGATCATGTATATTCCTATGGATGTGAGTCATTTTTATTTATGCTTATATGCTTCAAGCTATATATATTTTACATCATTCAATCACATACCAATAACACTATAATTCTACTTTAGAAATAATTCATGAGAACCCAAAATATCTAGCCTTAATATTTTGAGTGAATTTTGGGTGCTACTACCAGGAAAAATTAAATATTGAAGCATAATTTTAAAGTTAATTAAAGTTTAACAGTCATAAGGAAAAATGTGGATGGTAAAAGAAATGCTGCCCTTTGATCTTTTCTCTTCCATTAATGTGTTTATCAGAATTTTACTGTATGCACATACTTGTTAAGATGTTCTCAGCTTTATTTTAAAATATAGAGACACTCTTCCTGCCTTCAAGGAGTTTGCATCTGTTTTAAGAAGCAAGACTAGTAAAATAACTGCCTCGTCATGAAAAAGTGTGTGTGGCTTTTTGAGATTCAATTGAAAATATCATAAAGATCAGAAAAGGGAAGATCAGAATTTAGAATTGTCTTGATGATCCAGTTGGTGTTAGAAGGATAGAAAGCCAAAAGGCCAGACACTTGGAGGAAACATGAATGGAAGACTAGAACTGTAGGATACAGGCAAAATGGTCTTTCATACTCACGGAACAGGACTGGGATTTGGATATATCAAACTGGGGAACTGATAGCTATCCAAAGCCCTTCTAATGTGTTTCAGATAATTTAATATTTGCCTACACAAATCAACTTGTGTGGGTAAGGAAGTAATTTTTACTTTTCTTTTTCTCAGGTGGCTTGTACTTATACTCATTTTCTTACTTTTTTTACTTTCATTTTCTCAACTGGGCTGTAAACTCCTTGTCCACGAGGCATATATTATATTCTGGAGCACCATAGTGACTTATGATGTCTTGAACACTGTGGCACTCACATGATATTTTTTTCAAAGAATGAATACACGTAATAAATGCTAGTCATGTGATTTTGTGTGTGTGTAATGTCTAAGACATCTTTGTCATTTTCAACTGAAAATCCAAAAACTTTTTATATTGACAATGCCTGAAGTATGAAGTGCTTTTATTGAATTAATGTAAAGAAACGATTATTGCTAAAGTGAAAGAATTCATAAAAGTAAAATTGGAGGATCCCGGAGAATCCTAACAACCTCTTCAAATTGCCTTTTTAATCCTACCTTATTATCATTTCCTCTTTTTGCTGGCTTTAAATCTCTATGATTGAAATCACTTGTCTGGAAAGTACTATGGATATGAAATCATTGTCTCCAAGAGGTTACCAGGAATACACTGTATGTATATTTGGAACTGTTATGTGTTATCTGGATCTAGAAATAGGTAATGGAATATTTTGCCATCACACTATTAACAAGAACGTTTTCACCAGATTTGGTAAGCAGCAAATCTGAAAGCAGAGAATAGCTTTGTTCTGAAAGAAATGATGAAATACAGATAAATTTCATTAGGTAGGGAAAAAATTACCAATTTTTAAGACTTGGGAAGGAGCACCCAAGTAAGAGGACCTATGTCAAAACAGTTTTCCTGAATATGTGGGGGGAGGGGTGTACACACACTGGTATGTGTTGTATAAAAGCTCTGTCAATGTATAAATGTGCTAGAAAAGTACAAAAATAATAAATGAAATAATAGGTAATAAATTTATAGTAATTTTTAAATAATTGATGCTTTTATTAAATCAATATAAGCATCTTCTATTTCCTCTTAAGGAATACCTTAAGAGTGGACATTCAATAAAATTATTTAGCCAAAACATCTATTTCTGACAGACATTTAGATTAATAAAACTGACAAATGCCATTTGTTGATTATTTACATATGCCAAGTACTATGCCAAGGGTTTAGATATTCATATTTTATAATTTATTTCTCACCATACTTCCATGTTTCTTTATAAATTAGGAAACCGTCACACAGATACAGGAGCATCTGCAGTGCCAGAGAATAGGGCCTGTGAATTAAATTACTCTGCTTCCCAGATGTATGTTGATGCAAGTTTAGAAAAAGGTGGAAATAGGTGACTCCTAGTGTTGTTTTTATTGTTATGGTTGACATTTTCCAGATGTAGTGGGCTTCAAAAATCAGGATACTGTTCAGCAACATACAATCAGTAAAGTTGCTGGAGTGAACAGCAAATAAGTGTTGCCACTTGGAAGGATGAGAAACCATTTTGAGGCAAGACTTCTTGAAAGTGATGAGTGAACCTAGAAGTGTGGACCTAGCTCACAGCATCCAAATCAGAGCTATTAAAGCTTCAAGGGCCAGTTGAATATTCACAAGAATATAGTATTAGATTCTTCTGATCTCATCAAAATGAAATGGACTAAATATGAAAGTATTCATGCATGAGCAATTAATAATGATATATTTAAATGATGGCTATTTATTTCTGTTTTTAGTCATTGTAGATTCCCATGTAATTGCAAGCAGAATATTACGGTGGTGAACATCACAGTCTCTGGTACGTGCCTGATTTTGAATCTCATGTCTGTCACTTGCTAGCTGTGTGACCTAGAATAAGCCAATTAAACTCTTAGAGCCTTAGTTTTCTCATCATGGGTCCATCTGAGGATTAAATGAGTTAAGAACTTAAACACTTAGAACAGTTTCTGACACATAGTAAGCACTAAATGTTAGTCACTGTTATTATGGGTTTTATGTAGACACTCTTAAGTAAAATAGATGAATACGCTGGTTACTTTAAATCATTGATTTTTACCTGTGAAAAGGGTGTGAGATATCAAAGAGAGGATGGGGACAGGATTTCCTCTATCTAAACCTCCCTGGAAATTCTGACGAGTCCCTTCTTTCCCCACCCTACCTGCCCCATACGAAAATCGTTCTCTTCCTTCCAGTCGAGAATCTTAAGTTCTAATGAGAGATCTTACTTAACAGAACTATCTTGCAGATGGGAATGGTATGGAGGCAGGAAAAGTTTAGAAGCATTGATTTAAGTATGGTTGGATCACATGATCTTAACTGCCTGAGTAATAGCTTTTTTTACTCAGGTTTTTGACATGCTTTATGAAACAAGCTTTGAACCTTACTGTGGAATAGAATCCTCAACACTGAGTATAATAATATCCACTCCAGGTGCCCTCATTATGAATTTACAAGTGAGAGACTGCTTGCATAGCAAAATTCCAGGAAAATCATGTATCTCCCTTGAGAAACAGGAATATTGGTGAGAGCTTCATGTAACTGATTGTCTCTTTGCCTTTGACTTGCCTTTAATGATATGCAGAGTGAATATGCATGTTTTTAAATATGATAGATCAGAGGATTAAGTTATCAAAAGAGCTGTATGGAGCATAATCTCCTGTAATAGAAACGAGTCCCCATGAGATGACAGTTAAAATTGTTACTCTGTGGTCACATGTTTTACTTAGAGAAGTTTATTTTTTCTTTTGCATTATCACAAAAGAAAACTGAGTATGTTTACATTCACCTAATTGAAGTCGTATTTTCATATGTAATTCCTATCAGATTTTTATTAGTTTCTGTTGTTGGTTGAATTGTGTTCTCCAAAACAGTAAGTTGAAGTTCTACCTCCTGGTACATGTAAATGTGACCTTATTTAAAAATAATGACTTCATGTAATGAAGATGTAATGAAGTTAAGATATGGTCATAGTGGATTAGGGTGGCCCTTAAAACCAGTGATGGGTGTTCTTATAAACAGAGGCAGGTTTGAACACAGAGACATAGATGCACACAGACAGAAAGTGGTCATGTGAGGATACAGGCAGAAACTGGAGTGATGCAGCTACAGCCAAGGAATGCCAAGGATTGCCTGCAACTATCAGAAGCTAGAAAGAGCCTTGAGGAGAGCAAGACCAAGCTGACACCCGGATTTCAGACTTCCAGCCTTCAAAACTGTGAGAGAATAAATCTCTTTATCTTTAACCCACCAGTTTGTAGTGATTTGTCATGGCAGCCCTAAGATGCTAATACAGTTTGCATCATCCATGACACTCCAACCACAGTGGCTTTTAGATATCAAACACATGAAGTATTTTTCTTCCTGAAGCCTTTGCCATGGCTATTCCCTTGCCTGGAATACTCTTCTCTAGATCCTTCCATGCTTGGCTTTTGCTTTTCATTAAGGAATTACACAGACCAGAGTCCCTCCCTTAGGACCTAAATTAAAGTAGCCAGTCATTTACTCTTCACCATGTCAGCCTCAATTAATTCCTATGTAGAAATTATGTTGGATATATTTTTTATCTATTTTTTTTCTTTATGGGTTTAACTATTTTTTGTTCTTGTATCACTAGAATATAAACTATAAGAACAAGAATTTTATGTTTGTTCAGTACTTAGAATAGTGTCTGGTGTATGTAGGCATTCAGTAAGTATTTACTGAATGAATAAAGTTGTAATTTTTTATGGCTTGAAACAAAATCTTGTAATGTCATAGATGAGGTCCTGGAATATATTAGTTGTTTTGATTTTATAAACAGCTGTTGTACATCTCTATGAGCATGACATTTATGATATTTTCATTTTTTTCAATTTTTGTAAAGTTGGACTTGCAAAAATTATTTTATAAATATTCTTTTACTTCTGAATAACTAGCAGATGTTGCCAAGTATCAGTATCTGAAAGCCACATTTTCCAGTTACTCTTAATTTTTTCAAGTTAGCTACTGAGAGGAAAATAAGCTTTTAGCAAATTTTTCTTTTCGCCAACACATTTCTAAAGGTAGTAGTTGATATATTCTCCAGTTTTCAGTTAACTTGTCAAGAATATAAAGTACAATCTGATTTGTTCTTTCCTGATAATCTTAATGTAGTTAGGCATAATGCATGAATATGTAATAGTGTGTTTGTGAAGAAAGATGATGGGTTAGATGGAACTAAGAACTTTTCAAGTTTCCTCTCCAGGCAGTATTTTTCATAAATATTTCCAACCCAAATGACCTTCTCTATTTGATAACTTTCATGAAATTCCTACCTACAGTTTTATAGATTTAGAGTCGTTATGGTATTAACAACCTCCCTAAAAGTTCTGTATTTTTTAGATGTTTTTAGTCGTGAAACTTTCAGTACAAGTTGCTGTTATCTTTGACATTCATCAGTGTTTGCTTTTGGATTGTTTTTGTAAAAAACTGTAAGTTCAGACCTGCAATTACCTAGAGACTTTTGTGTCATTTTGTCATGGTTTATAGTTCGATTTACATGCATCAGTTGAATATGTTTCTTTCAGCTGATACCTTGAGATCTTCCTCCATCATTAATTTTCTTTTTTAAAAAGTATTTATCCTTAACTTTCTGTTCACATTGTTACTCTTGGTTAGCCATACCACTCCATGTTTGCCCAGTTGTTCAGCCCTTTAAACACTGAAGGATCCATTCATTCTCTCTTTTTCTTTCTTTTCCTCGTTTCCCATACTCAATTCATAAGCAAAACCTACTAGTCTTATTTTAAAATCTATTTGTTTTCCCTCTTCTCCAGATGTGTCACTGGGACAACCGAATAAACTGCTGGTGGACTCCCTTATTCTCGCTTAAGTTCTCTATGTGATTCATTTCCTCACCTTAGAGTGAATGGGGAAAAAAGTAAATCCTTGCTGCTACCATCCTTCGTACTCCGAAGTAAGTGTCAGTGTGCTTAGTTCAGGCTCCTTACTAAGACCCTCAGAGACTATAGCAACCGACCCACCAAATTCTCCAACACTGGCTGGCTTTCTTTCCTCTGCTATACCAAGATTATATGTAATTTAGGGCTTTTCGGTTCCCCCTGCTTTGCCCAGATCCGGCTGACCGCCTTCTCAGCCTTAGGCTTCAGCTCAAATATCACCTTTTTAGAAATACCAGTCCTTGACTTCCCATCTAAAATACTCCTCTGCACTGTCAGTCTCTGTAGCAGACGACTCTTTGCCCTTATTAATTTTAAACAACGCCCTGAGTTTGCTTACCCTCCTTGCATAAGCACATGTTTCAGAGGATGTGGGCTCCAATTTCATGAGTCTAAATCTGGTGGATTTAAATCTTTTTTTCATTACAATATTATATTAGTTTCAGGTGTGCAACGTAGTAGTTCAAAATTTTTATATCCTTGCAGCGTATTTATTTTATACATGTAGTTTGTACCTCTCAAGCCCCTGCCTCTATCGTGCTCCTCCCCACTGCCCTCTCCCACTGGTGACTGCTCGTTTGTTCTCTTTATCTGTGAATTTATTTCCGTTTTGTTGTATTCATTAGTTTGTTTTAGTAGTTTGTTTTATTTTTTAGATTCATATAGAAATAGTAACATACAATATGTTCTTTCTCTGACTGACTTATTTCAGTAAGCATATCACCCTTCCGGTATGAGTTTAAATCTTTATAAGTCTAACTCAGCAGTTTCCAACAATGGCAGAGTCCCACACACAGAGATTTTGATATCCATAGGCTGAGATGAAAAACCATTTTTCTGAATCAGTTACAGTTTGAGTACACTTTGATCCAGTACAGGAGTGGGCGTGGGTTGAAATTTGGTAAATGAGATGTGAAAGAAAAATTGCTTATGGGATTCTGAGAAATGTTCCGTGTCTTAAAAGAGGGATCAAAGAAGATCTAACCCCTCAACAACCAGCTTGTCATTGTTGTGTAAGATCATGAAGCTGGGAACTAAACGGCTGCCCAGTGCCCACGAAGGTGGATCCGGGATGGCAGAGAAGAAAGACAGAGAGAGCCAGAGTCTAAACGGCATTGTTGAGTCAGGTAACACTAACATGACACTAATTCTAGTCTTTTTTTTTTAAATTAATGTGAGATAATAAATCTCACTCTTACTTAAACCATTTAAAGTTGGGGCTCATGTTAATTGCAGATCAAAGTAGCCTAATTGATATGTTTTCTAGTTCGTTACCCTGTCCAGTTGTCTTAATGCAGGCAATAAACTCTGAAATTGCCTTGCTTATTTATGCATTTCTTTTTTTTTTTGTCTTTCACTGCATTTTAAGAAAAAGAACATTGTTTTATATTAATTTCTGACCCAGTGCCTGGAATGTTGTTTAGCACATAGTAGATACTGAATGAATGTATAAAAATTTATGATGAATCCATTCAGTCTATCACGTTTATCTCTTTAATACCTAAAGGTAAACTTCTCTATGCTTGTTTATTATCGTGGTTTTAGTTTATTAGCTCTCTCCAGGAATATCTTAATAGTCCCTATTAAAATATCTCTTTCTACAGTTTATATTCTACCAGTTCATCTTCCACGCTGCTGCTAGAGCAGAAAAGATTTTACCTGATTAAAGTATGTCTGTAGTGCCCCTGTGCCTAGCAAGGCAAATTCATACTCCATTGCATGGTATACATCAGGTCTCTGTCTGCTTATTCAGCTTTTCTGATGCTTGTCTTTACTGCAGTCATGTTTAAGATCTCAAATCTCTTCTAACAAACCATATATGGTAGGCAGAATTCTGAGATGGTTTACAAAATTACTACCTTCTGTTATGCACACTTTGTATAGTAATTCCCTTTGAATGTGAATGGACCTGACTCGATCAGATGAGCCCTTTTGAAAAAAGGTGTGGAAGTCAGAGAAGGAAGAATTCAGAGATATTCCAAGCTGCAACAGATGTCCTCCTGGACCCAGCAGCCTCTGTCCTATAACCACAAGGAGTTGAATTCAGCCAACAATCTAAATAAGCTTGAAAACAGACCCCAAACTCCAGGGAAGAACTCTAGCCAGGATGACATTTTTAATGCAGCTTTGTGAGACACTACATGGAAAACTCAGCTGAGATATACCCAGAATTCTGACCTACACTATCGTGAGATAATATATGGATGATTTTGAGCTGCTGAGTTTGTGGTAATTTGTCTTACAGTAATAGAACACTAATACATCATGCTTTCTCAGTTCTCTTTGCCTTTTACTCATTGTTCCCTCTGATTTCAATTCATGTCTGTGTAGTAAATATTTACCTGACTTACAAGATCCAACTCATGCATTACCTTCTTTAAGAATACTTCCTCTGCAAAACACCTTTTTCTTAGCCCTGGCTAGTTTACTTCAATGTACTTCATTTTCCTCCTCAGTGGGTTTTATTGTTCTAACATTTCCCTTTCATATGTCTGTTATATTTGAATGGTAGTGCCCTCATTTTGAACTGAAGCTATGACCCTGGTCATGGCAAGACCAATGTCATACTGGAACCAAGTTATCGGGAGTCTCTTGATAAAAACATACCCCAAGTATCCTGAAGGTATTTGATTAATTCAGTAGCAGTGCCTAGGTTTTTGTGAGAATGTGACATCACTGTTACAGTCACTCATACTTTTTTCCACATTAACCCTCAATGGACTGATGACTAAGTCCACAGTTGACAATGGACATAGAAGGTAACAACAAAGTACACTTTTAAGAACTGACTTGTGGTTTATTAGGACATAATAATGACATCTACATTACCTTTGCCTCTTGTCACTGAAACCATTGCAAAACAATGAGAATTCTAAGAAAGAGATGAGAAATACAGCTCATCTATGGTAAAACTAGAAATGATCTGTAACCCTAAAAAACACATGAAGAATGCCTGCTAAATCCAGTGACAGTAATAATATGATGCAAGAAAATGCTGAGAAAAGAAACCTCCAGCTACACCATCAGATAATGCTGGCATAGAGAACGTTCCGGGATAGGTGGTCACCCTGAGGGATAAAACATGACTAACAACTGCATATCTCAAATGGTAGGGTGGGCTGTAAGGATTTTCCTAGACCTTATGTATCATTACAGAGAAGTAAGGAGATGAAGCTGAAGAAGAAAGCACACAAACATTCTAAATGTACAAAAGCAATCTGCCAGGGAATCTGGATAAAGGGAAGCCTTTGAACGGTAAACAGCCTTGCAACTGCTGATTCCTTTCCGCTGGGAGAAGTAAAAGCTAAATAATCCCTCTCTGTCTGTGTTTCTCTGTGTGTGTGTGTGCATGTACGTTTGTGGAAATGTGTCATATACACATGCACATATGCACCGACAAACTTGAAACCTTGTGTCGTAAGAAATTTCTCCATGAACCAGGGAGATACCCTGAAAGCTTGTAAACTGTGCTTACTGTTATACCACAGAAACCTACTGAGAGATGGTGGTAACAGCAGAATCCACCTCACACAGAGACAAATGATACCTTAAACTCTTCAACTCAGCATCTGCAAATATTCTACAAGTTAAAAATAAGGAACAGAAAAAATGCGAGTGGAAAAAAAGGAAGACATGGCAGAAAAATATGACGTTGGACAAGATTTTAGATTTTCACCAAACCATATTTAAAGCAGGAGCTCAGAGCAGAAATCTGAGAAAAAGGAAGACATTGGAGACATACATACAGGAGCCTCCAGAGCTCAAGAGACAAGAAGAAAAGAAAATAAAACCTTCAGAAAATGAGAAAACATGAAAGGGAAATATACTCTGCTGGAAAGGGAGTAGAGAGTCAGACTGGAAAAACAGACTAACATGGAATTAAAGTAAAATGGCTGTGAATAGAATTAAAGAAATAAGGAGAAACAATTAAAAAAGATACCTAAGGCAGATCCAGGATAGATATAATTGCTATCTTTGAATAAAAGAACCAGAAGGAAAAGCAAATTTCAAGATGGAATTCAAAGATTTTCCAAGACTATTAAAAAAAAACTTAAAATGTAGATGAATATGAAAAACTTTAATGATCTTACTATGTCTGAGGTAAAACTGCAGCAATGCCTGCTATATTTCCTGGAGTTCAAAATTAAAGAAAATCCTTCAGGCTTCGAGGCAAAAGGCTGAAAATGCCTATGGTGGGTAAAGGGCAGAAGGCCTCACATTTCCCCAGCACTTTTCAATTTCTCAAGCAAAGAGGAACCTGAGAATTTTATACTCAGTCAGTATTTCATTTCTGATACACAGTATCAAATGCACAAGAACAAAGGGAATATATTCCTCATGAGCTCTGAAGAAGAAATTTATAGAAGATCAATTGGACAATATAAATATAGATGCAAGGGCAAAAGATTGACGATGATTATTGTGTTTATTTAATTGCAGGACCAAAGACAGCCCAATTGTGGAAATTATAGTTACAAACAGACTATAAATCACAAACCGTGTCAAGATAGAAAAAAATCATTGCTAATATCAAAAGTCAAGAGTGCAAGTGTAAGAGAAGGACAATGTATGTAAACTATATGTATATGTATTAAACTATAATGACTTATTTTTGTTTTATGGCTGAAGGTCACAAGATGTTTTTTGAACCTGACATATCAATGAATATATATATATATAAAGTAATTTTTAAAAAGTAAATTAGTATAAAGAACTACAAAAAATATGTCTAGATGACAAGGTAAAATCAAACTAGATACTGTATATGAAATATGTTTAAACCTAAGTGATAAAATAGAAAAGGATGGACAAAGAAGGAAATAGAAAAACAACAACAGAGGTATTCAAGAACATCAGGAAACATTGATTCAAGGCAAATTCATTATAATAAGACAAGGTTCAATTCATAAAAATTTTGCAGTCACATACAACAATGTGTGAATAATATAAGAACAAAATCTAAAAGGAAAATTTCAGTGACATTTCAGGAGTATGATATTTTAATTAATTTATCTCTTTTGCCAGTGACATTTCAAGTAGACCAAAAATAAATAAAGCTATATAAGTCCCAAATTATGTAATATAAAGTATATCTAGTTGATTTATATCTTCAGCAGTAGACCTCAGGTCTTTATAAAAGATAATTTTCCTAGGAAATTGAAGCTCCATTGTGCAAGGTTTTCAGTAAATATCGAGAAATGTGCATGAGATATTACCAGTTACTTGCACATTATAAGCGGGGATATTCAAATCACAGAAGAGTTTGAAGAAATGAGGAAAGTACGAAGTCCTACTTGAGAACTTAGGGAAGGAGTTGTTCTAAAGAACCTGACAATATCCTCACCTTGAACAAGCAGTATTTTTAGGAACTTCTGCAACAGAAGAAACTAGACATGAGCAGATAAGTTGCTTCCTTTGTTGGGGTCTTTTAGTAATCTCATCACCTTCATTCTTATGAAAATTATGCAATTATGTGTTTTTTAGTGTAATTCCAAACTATTAAAAGAATAGCACAAACAACCAATTAAAGTTTATACCGACAGTTCAAAGAACTCAATAAGCATAATTTACTATAATTATAGAGAGAGGCTTATATCTATTGGTACTGAAAATTATTTTGATCAAAGGCTATATCCATGCTTGGTAAGATTGCTAAGGTACATACTTTCTTAATAATTTTTATAGATAAAGGCAATTCCTCTCTCTATGTGTATATTTTGCACATGTATATTTTTATATATATAACATGTAAACATATCTATATGTGCATATACATGTATGTGTCTTTTATGGTAAAACAGAATTTATATTAAAGTTGAGAACAAATAAAGAAATTAACTACCATCACATATTTAACATTTTTATGAATATACTAGTTAATGGAATTTACATGTGAAAGAAATAAGGTCTAAAAAGTTGGAAAGAAAGAAGCAAAGATAAAATTATTTACAGTGATAAAATAGAAAATCTACAAAATTAAAAAGAAACTACTAAAAAACTGTCAAAAGCAGTAAGAGATTTCAATAAGGCAGTTGGTGCAAAATCAATATAGCGAAATAAACAACATATATGTGTGTGTATGTGTGTGTATGTATATGTTGTTAGGATAATGGAAGAAAACATTTCA